ATCAGTGGTGAGTCCTCATTCTTCGAGGACTAGTGACATGTTTATTTTTATTGCTTTTAGTCTTTAGTTTCAGTTTTGCTAGATCTAGTTGGGGCATGTCCCAACATTTCTAGTCAGTTTAGAGGCTTATTTCAGACATAGTTAGATTCAGCTTAGTGTTTTGAGTTTGATATTTCTTTTGTATTAAACTCTCAGATTTGATATATTCAGCTATAGTATATGGGTATTCCCCATCTTTTCAGATTTATTTATGATTTAGCTTCCGCATCAGTTTATTATCTTTAGTATGCTCATGATCATGCCAGCAGGGTTAGCTTGGGATCACTTGTGGTCCTAGGTCCCGTGTCCGCGTCTCGGGGGTAGTTCGGGGCGTGACACGGAACCTCTCAGCACCAAAGGTAATAACTTGTCCATCAGGCAATTCATAGTTCTTTTCAGTGGAGGAGCTGCTCTTGATAGTTTCAATCTCCTGCTCATAGTCAAGAGCCACATAAGAGGCAGGAGGATGGTGATCGCCCTCCCTCCTCTCTAGCTCACCTATCATATCAGCTTCTGGCTTCTACTAACAAAATAAATAATGAGCTCAGTTCTGCATAGAACATCCTTAAAAAAAATATGCAATTATATAATGCATAACAATTAGCTGCAAGTCTGTAATATCTAATTGACTCAGACACACTTTATACCTATTATAAGATGAAATTTTAAAAATGTGTAAATGAAGCATCACAATTAGGAGCTATAGGAAACATTTCTAAACAGGGAAAATAGAAATTTATACATCAAGCAAAGTTCTTAACGGTGATCCATATCAAAATTTTCAATTGTTAGAATGGGAATGTATGCAAAAAAAAGGATAAACTCTGGGTGCATTGGATAGACACATATTACGGGAGGACCAATACACTATGGGCGTCTTGTTTACTGTAAAGGAAATAGTGCAGCAGTTGTGGTATTGAGTTCCTTTGACTTACGATTAGTTAGTTCTATTTCTCTATGTGGTGGGCCATTTTAATTCCAACTCGCCTTTGATTTTTTCCTTTCCAGACAATGGTAGGTTAATTGATCACATTTTATTCTTGAAATGACTTGGATTAGTATTAGTCTGAATATGAAAAAATCATGGGCTGCATCCTTCGAGCATATGTGAAGGGTGGTGATATTTTTAGTTTTGTTGCAATAGAGAAACTACAACCGAGGGTCTATTGGAAACAACCTTGATAGCTTCCCTAGACCCCATTTGTGGGATTACACTGGATATGTTGTTGCAAGAGGTAAGGTCAGCGTGCAGTTGATTTAAATGACATTTTGTATCTTTTTGATAATATAGTTGTAGCCAGAGGACTTGAAGCAGCTAGCCAGTACTTGAATTTTTCGATTCTATTATTCGTTTGAATTCTCACTTGACAAAGTAGGAGTAAGGTTTGCGTAAACTCGACTTTCTCATCAATACTGTGTATGTCCCTGTTGTTATTATTATTCAATTGAATTCTAACGCTTTCTTCGTTAGCAGGAACTTAAACTTTTGATGAGCGGAGGAAAAGAAAGAAAACTTGCAATATACAAGCCTCGATCATCGCCTAAGATCATCGTTTCGTTAGGAAGGCAAGATGCAGTGGCTCAATTTTCGTTCACAACGATCATTGGATTGTCCCCGGTATGATCAAGTCTAAGGATTTATACGTTGGGAAATTGGGGAAGAAAATGGGGCTTCAACCAAAGTAATATATATTGTTTCATTCATGAAATTTAACATCATTTTGAGTGTGAGAAAATGGTGTCATTTCATGGCCAAAAATTGAGTTCTTCTACTTACATTTGAGGGCTATAAATATTTTTTAGTTGTTGTAGTTAATGAGTGTAAGATTTTAGTTATTTGGGTTTTTCAAAAATATTTGCACTTGTATATCCAATATAACTCATATGAGTTGTGGTGAAATAGTTGAGATTTTTCTACCCTTAATTAGAATTTAGGATCACGAGCCGTGGAATGGAAAAAATCATGTTAGGAGTGCTGCCCCTTGAAATGCGCAAATCTGAATTTAGTCGGATTTCAATGTGGATACCGAGCACCGAATGAGAAAACAATATATCCACTATAAAAATATATAACACGTTGCTAACTACGAAAATAATATACATATCCATCTTCAGTTGCAATTGCTGTTCAAAATCATCTAGTCATATCTCCATCAAATGTCTTCAAATATTATAGAGAGAATCTCTTTAGATTATTCCAACAAATCTAAACAACACTTCAAATTTCTCTCTCTCACACACACATAAAAAAAGAAGACATGATTTGAAATTCAAATCCATCACGAGTTATCTTTCTAATTTGATTATCTATACACAAATCTTACAAAATCAGTACTCTAATCAATAGTTGAGTCCCAAACATATTTACAAATCGAGATTTATTGGGAGGCAAACATTTGTATTTTTGATATATAGGAAACAAACCTTGTGTATCGTACACCTTTGAATTCTATTAGAGCTTTGAATTTGATATTGCATAACTCTAAACTGACTGAAAAGGGAAAGAACATGTATACATGAATTGCTATTGAGATGAAAGTTGAAGCAATACATGAACTAAAAATCTTCAAGTAACATTAATTGCTATTGATATTTCCGGCAACGAGATATTTCTATTGTCTTCAAGGTAGTGGGCAGTATGCTAAAAGGAAAGGAAGTAAGAGAGTTACAATCACTAATATCTAAATTCTCAAGTTGGGATATAAATAGTTGAGCATCATTAAAAAACCTTAGGACAACCAATTACTCGAAAATCTTTTAAACTTGAAAGTTGGATGGGTGTCTCCAAATTGACTTCAGGGCAAGTTATAATTGAAAGTTACTCAAGTATAGGGAACTCCCCATTTCCTAGTACGTGCCATTGCTTCCACTCCGTCATATCTACAAATGCAAGCTCCTCAAGAGAGTTAAAAGGCTTTTTGGATGACAAACCTCCATAGAATTCTTCTGTCACCTCTGTTATTCCATGCATCCCTCTAATGCAAAGGAATTTCAAACAAGGAATTTGTCCTAGTGCTGGCAAGGAATAACAGTCCTTGCAGTTGCTAAGACTCAATTCTACTAGCTTAAGAAACGAAAGATCAGCTAGCCAATTTGGAAATTTTGTCCCTCTATATCCGGTGATCTCGAGATTTTTTATGTTTGTGTGTGGGCGTAGCGTATCAAGTATGTCTCTTTCTGTTAGTGAATTTTCGGCACTACTACTTTCACTCCACTCCAAATATAACTTGTCAACATGATTCTTCTCCCTCATCTTTGCCTTCACAGCTTCCCTTCTATCAACCACATTTTGCAACTCTACAACTGATAGAGATCCCTACAAGTTCTCTACTTCACCCAAATCTTCCATTCTCGAACCACCACGATCACCAACAAGAAACCTGGCTCCTACTAGCACTTGGAGGCTTTTCAACTTGCTCAGAAGTAGTGGCATCTTCAAGCGAGAAGTGTTGGTTATGTCGAGGTGATGTAAGTTGATCAACTTCTCCATCTGCAGCGGTAGCTCCACAAGATAATAGCAAGATGACAAGAGAAGTGTCTCCAAGTTATACAAAGCACATATGGAATCTGGCAACTTTTTAATCCCTGTACAAGAAAGGTCCAAAAATCTGAGGAGCTTTAATTTGATAAACAAGTCATTTGGCAACTCCTTAATCCTGTAATGAGACAGTGATAATGCCCTTAAGGATCTTAGTCTTGGCAGTATGTTATGTTGCACCCTCTTGCTTAGAGAGTAATAATTGACATAAATACATGTCGGAAGCAATGTCCTCAGCTGCTCCAATTTGTAGAGGGGTGTCAATTTCTCAAACTCACCACCATATCGCATTGAATATGATAAGTGTCGACTTTTTTCCAACATATAAGATCCTTGGCTCTCTTCCAACCTGATACAAAGTTTTGAAGATGCAATTTGGGCTAAATCATTGACAAGGTCATGCATTAAGAATAAATTCTCTATGTTCCCTTCAGAAGGATTTGGGAGTTGGGACCCTTTCGAATAATGATCTTGACCTCAACTCGAGAAAGTATTGGTTGCCTGAATCTTCAATTATTTCATCTTCCTGATGTAAGAGACCATTGGCAATCCACAGATGAATGACTTGTTCTTTCCTAAATGGATAATCTTTAGGAAATATTGCACAATAGGAAAAACATCGCTTTAAATGTGCAGGAAGATCATTGTAGCTCAACATCAACGCTGGTAATACGTCATTGTGTGGCAGCTCCCATATTTCACTTCTCAAAATACGTTTCCACTCTTCAACCTCTGATTTGGAGCGTAACATGCCAGCGAGCGTCTTCAGAGCTAAGGGCAGTCCTTTGCACTTAGCTGCAATTTGTTTTCCGACCTCTTCAAGTTCCGGATATCCCATAGGATCCATGTTTTCAAATGCATGTCTTTTAAATAAAGACCAAGAGGCTTCAGTAGACAAATTGTCCATGCTAATTTGCTCATTTCCCATTATCAAGGCAACACTCTCTTTACGTGTTGACACAATGATCTTACTTCCTATATCTCCTTGTACAAAAATATTTCTCAAGTCAACCCACTCATTGTAGTTGTCATTCCATACATCATCCAGAACAATAAGAAACTTCTTTCCCTTTAAGTTTTCCTTCAATTTCACTTGAAGCTGATTAAGATTGTTGTGGACATCCTTTGAGTCAATTTCACTTGAAGTAAACCTTTTGTTATTCTGAAAGCATCATATGCCTCAGAAACACAAAACCAAGCTTTCAAACCAAAATGGTCCTTCACCTTCTCATCATTGTAAACGTCTTTAGCAAGTGTTGTCCTACCCAGGCCGCCCATTCCAACAATAGGAACTACAGTCAGCTTTTTTCCACTTGCATCTTCAGATATTAAACGGTCAATCAAATCCTCTATTTCACTCTGCGTACCAAAGATATCAGAATCATCAACCAAAGAAGTTGAAGGTGTTCTAGTTTCTTGTTTAGTTGAAGCAAAATGATCCTTTAAGCCAAGGCGACCAATTTGCTTTTCCAACACCTCCAATGTTTCAATGGTTTCTTCCAACTTATCCTTTATGTTAAGAAAGAAATCATCACTCAAGCAA